CTCCCGCCCTCACACCTGGGTCTCACAAGCCCGGGGCAGATGTCTGCCTGCTCTCTCTCCCCACAGGGGGATCGACTGCTGTCTCTCCTCTGCCGTAAGAAGAGGGGTGATTGGTCCGGATGGATACATGAAGGCCGGCTGCCACAGGGGGCGCAGGCACGAGGTGGTAGCGGGGGGTCTGTATTGTTGACCATTGGCTCTCCATGGCGAAGGGAGGGAGGGTGGAGGAGGCTGCGAAGGAAGGGAACATGTTGATGGGAGAAACAGGCAGCACACGGGGGCACTTAGCAGGCAACAAAGACCGCACTGACCGAGAGAAAAGGCGAGGCCTCATTTGGTCTTCGACGACCGGATGTCCTTTTTTCCGGTTGCCAAAAGACACCCTCCTCGGACAGCAACAGGCTCCTGCTCAGGAGCCGCCTCGCGTGCGTGCGTGCGTGCGTGCGTGCGGCCGTCAGTTCGTGCTACCGGTCTGCTTGGTGCCCAAATACACTAAAACCATGCCAAGTCTGTCCATGGGGGATAGGTGAAAGGGGACACACAACATCACCCACACACACACACACACACACACACACACATCAGGGGTGCTCGATGACCACGAGGTCCTCATCCTCGACATCGCTCTCAACAATGACCACATCCACAAGGTGGCTATCCTCGTCGCCCTCCTCCCCCTCCCTATCCGAGGGGAAGGTGGTGGAGGGAACAGTCATTGTCGAGACCCGGGGATCGGCGGAACTCCCGACACTCGGCGACGGACAATGCCCGGTGGTGGTGGTGCTGGTGGTGGTAGTAGCGGCCGTGGCGGCCGCCCCCCCACGTAGCCACCTCACAAGAAAGGTGTCGGGAAATTGCCGGATCCCATCCTCGCTGTTGATGGCTGGGGCATGGGCCGGGAGCCGATCGCTCGCGGCCACGGCACCATGATCAGGCTGCAGAGTACCCACAGCCGGGGGGCGTGCGGCAGGGCGGAATCGCCCGGCCGAAGCACGCCCCTGCTCGCTGGAGTCCAGCGCCTCGATCACCTCCCAAAGCCGGCTCTCCAGATGGAACGATTCGTCCGTCCCCGGGCCATCGTCGTTCACAGAGCCCACATGCTCCCCGGCGGTTGGGACAAAGTGCCAGTCCCCGGGACGGTCAGTAGCCAGGTAGGCTGGCGGAACAGCATCATCGGCAGACGCCTGCTGTGGTGCCACCGAGTCGTGTCCCCCCAAGGGCAGCGAGGCAGCGCCAATGCGCCCGACGTGGCCACTCGAACGGCCAACACTCCGGGGCCCGGTGAAAAGGTTGTCCCGGTCCCCGGCGAAATCCTCCTGGCTGGCGGTAGCTGTGGAGGCGGTGGAGTCGGCCTGGTCATCGACGAGGACAACGACCTGGCTGTTGCGCCGAGTGGTGGCCGGTGCGCCGGAAAGCGGGTGGATGGTCAGGTTCTCGCGCGAGGAGGAGGGCGACGTGCGACTTGACCAATCCGAGCGCGGGGCAGTCGGAATGGACACCCAGGCCATGTGGGTGTCCATCAGCTCCAGCAGCTCGGACTCCAATTGATGATTGGCCGATGGCGAAGAGGGAGAAGCGGAGGTGACACTGGCCGGTGAGGAGGGCGACCGGAGGGGCAACACCAGGGTCACGGACATCCCGGTCGGGGGGGGCTGGAAGGCCGCACGCGCTTCGCCACTGCCCGCAGGCGGAGGGATGGCCGCCAGCAGGGCTGCCAGATGGATATCATCCCCGGATCCCGCATACAAAAGACGATCACCGAGAGACCGATGGCCGGTTGCCGGCGAGGGGGGATGACCGCCGGGCGCGACACCAGGCGGCGGTGATGCCGGCGCAAAGAACCCGGCACCCTCGGTGTGCAGAGCAGCACCCTGAGGAGGGCCATCGGACCGGCCCGACTCGTCCTCGGAGGAAGTGGAACCCGAGTCGGCTCCGCCGCCGATCCAGAAGGGACGGAGCTCGGCAAGGCGAGCCTCCAATCCTCGCGGGTGCAAGTCCCCCCAGGGGGCGCCGAGGATCTCGGTGGCTGGAGGAGTCGGGGCAGAGCCGCCGACATCCGGCGACAGGCCGCTGGTCCCGGAAGTGGGAGAGATCAAGGCCATCAGCGAGTCGGACGAGAGGAACTCCGGGGTCGGGGCCGCACGAGCGGCAACATGCGGGAATGCGGCCATCAGGTCGCCCTCGCCTCCGGTGGAAAGTAGCCCATTCAGCGGAGGGAAGGCGACCGAGGCAGAACCCGGAGGAGCAACGGCCGGTGCTGCCATCCAGGTTGGCCGCGCGGTGATGGATGCCAGCTGCTGGTGTAGCAGCAGATCAGCCAGCTTGGCGGCCGCGGGTGACCAGGCCGATGACACCGGACTGCGCGGGCTACTCCCTGGCGCCGGCCACAAACACCGGAGGCACGGGCCGCCGACGAGGGCAGGCGCCTGCCCCTCCGAGGGAGATCCATCGCCAGAAGACGCCTCAAGGCGTGGCGAACGCGACCCCAGCTCGGGTGGCTGGCTTGGTGCCAGCTCGCACATGCATGTCACGTCCAGCGGGGCCGGGGCCGGAGCACGGCGCCGTCCCGGGAGACCGGTGTCCTGGTCGACGGTGGTCGACATCTCCTGGCGAGCCATGCGCTGATACTCGCCAAGTGACAGCATGTAGCGCACCATGCGCTCGTAGTGGCCGGCACCGCCGGCCTGGGTTCCGCGCGAGGTTTGCCCATCAGGGCCAATCTCGGGGACATCCTCATCGCGATACGCCGAGGAGAAGGACACCCGCCGGTGGGAGCCGCGCTCGAGGGCGGGCCTGGTCGGCCGAACGGCTGGACGCGTCTCCGGGGCCACCTTAGACAGTGAGGCCATGCTGCCGGTGAATCGGCGCCGGCGCTCAGGGACCTCGGTTTGGACGCCGATCTCGCGACTACCGTCGGCCTTTGATGACATGGACGACGTGGCGGGGATGCGCAAAGCGCCTGGAAGGACTTCGGCCCGGACCGGTGGCTCCTCGCCATCGATGGTGCACGCGAGCCACTCGAGAGCCGAGGACGCGATTTTGGCCGGGCCCCGAAGAAGCTGCTCAGCACGCTCACTCAGGCTGCGAATCCCATCATCAAGGTGCCGTGGCGAAAGGAAGGTTGCCGCTGTGTGGAGAAGATCCTCCTGCTCCAGGAACGAGCGTGCCGGTGAGGCACTGGGATTGATGTGGGCACTGGCGGCGGCACGGGCCGCCTCGGTCGGGCAGGCCTCGCCAGGAGGGAAAAGAGCTCGCGCGGCCAGGGGCAAAAGCCCGGAAGCTGGAGTGGCCTCACTCCGCGAGTCGGAGATGGCACTCTCCACTGCACGATACATGGACGAGGCAAAGTCCGACACGCGGCTGATCACCACCGGGTCCAGACCGGGGAGCAGGGCATCACGGATCGGGAGGGGGGTCGGGGCGGCCGGCTCACTGGCTGAAGATGGGACGAAGTCGCCCATGGACTGGACACTCGGTTGGGCGGGGCACTCGGCAATCAGCTCGGTGGCAGGGGGCTCAGTGACAGCTGGCTGGGCGACAACAGGCTCGGCGGTGGCGGGCTCGGCGGTGGCGGGCTCGGCGGTGGCGGGCTCGGGGGTGGCGGGCTCGGGGGTGGCGGGCTCTGCAGTAGTCTGCCTGGGGAGGAGGGCACCAGATGGATGCATCGGAGCCGGCTCCTCTGAGGCGCGGCCCTCCTCCGGCAGGTCGATCTCCCCCTCGAAGCGCAGGGCATCCAGGATTTGGGGCATCTCAATAACGACACTGGTCAGGCTGAAAGGCTCGGGAGGAGGACAGGAGGATGCCTCCTCGGGGACATCCTCCACCGGGGTCATGCGCGGGAGAAGATGCTGGTCCTCGGCCACCGAGAAATCGATGGTCTCGCGCTCATCAATGTAGCTCTGGGCCCGAGGGAAGTATCCGGGCAGACGATGGCCCTGAAGCAAGTGGGATGGGTCCGACACGCGGACCGCCGCCGGGGCTGGAGGAAGGCGAACCGAGGACACGAGGGCGGGAACGGTAGCCAGTGGACTATGACCAGTCACACTTGCCAGGTCCATGCCAGGGGAAATTGGCGCCATCTGGGATTGATCCATGTGCAGGCTCGATGGAGTGGCGAAGTGCCCAGCGGCGGATGCCAAATCGAAGGACCGGATCTCCGGGAAGCTGACGCTGAAGGGCTGGTATCCGGATTGGTTGGAGGTACTGGCAAACATGCAGGACGCCGTGGTCGGGGAAGAGCCACATAGGAGAGTCAGGTCAGTCCCCGGCATGGAAACCTCGTAATACATCATCGACACGGAAATGGGAGGCTGCGACTGTGACTGCGGCTGCGGCTGCGGCTGCGGCTGCGGCTGCGGCTGCGGCGGTGGCTGCGAGGTCGGCTGGGATTGCGGCTGGGAAGGTGGTTGTTGCACGGAAGGTGTGGAGGGAGATGCAGGGGGTGATGCGCCTGGCGCGGAGCCAGGGGCACCGTTGCACTCCTCGGGGTCGGACATGGCCCTGGAGCCAGGGGGAGAAGAGTCAGGCATCGACAGGACTATATGTATGGGGAGGGTTAGTTTAATAGAAGAGAGGGGAAGTCATGTCTGGAGCTTGGAAATAAAGAGAGAGAGAGAGAGAGACGGAGAAGAGGAAAAGAGGGAAGGAGGGAAGGAGGGAAGGAGGGAACGAGGGAAGGAGGGAAGGAGGGAACGAGGGAAAGAGAGAGAGAGAGAGAAAGAGAAAGAGAAAGGATGAGGGAATATATCGGGGACAGTTGTGTTTACGTGCGCGTCTTGAGAGTGTTTGTGTGCTTCCGCGGATGCGGCTGGGAGTGCGTAATGCGGAGGGGAAAGAGGGGAGAAATGTGTATGGAGGACCCTCCCCCAACAGGAGGGAACTTGGCGGGAGGGGGCCCTTGAGTGTCCCTGCTGCATCCGGCGGCCCCCGCTGGCCGGGCCCCCCTAACGCGCAGACCCACCCCCCAAGAGCAAAGGAAGGGGGAGACTCGCGTCACGAACTGCAGGCGGGCAATCGCTCAGATCATTGAGGCGAGGGGAAAGCGGGGGAGGGGTCTTACACATTCTGCCATGCGAACAACATTGGGCCTGCCACACGCGCGGGGTATGGCGAGATCTGTCCCGGCATGCCAGATCGATTCGCGAGCAAGAAGGCCCGGCCCCGAGACAGGTTCGAGTCGAGATCTCGGGTAGAAGCGTCCGTGCAAGATCTCCGGGATCGTGCTCTCTGCGAATAGAGCAACAGGGGGGACGATCCCCCCCCCCCCCCCCCACACACACACACACACACACATACACACACACACAAACTCCCGTACTCCCGCATGTGCGCACGCGTGCACGTTGAACAATCGGCCCGGCTCCAAGAACCCTTTGCCGTGAATGATGCGGAGGCTCGTCATGCTATCTCCGGGATCTCCACCGCGCGACCACAGTCGGTGAAGGGCAAACGAACGGAGCCCACCCACATTCTCCGACCCCTGGCCCGAGGCCGCCCGGGCACACGCCATGGCCTTTTTCACCCAGCCAGGTCACCTTTACCGTCCCCGAGGGTGGGGGAGCGCATGGGCGGCCCCGCCACAGGGGCGCCCTGGCAAAGACCCCGCACTGACCCCCCCCCCCTTTCCCGAACATAGGAGGGCCGAGTGCGTAGAGACCCCAGCTGCCGATCAACCACCGAGGAGTAGGCCCCTCCGCTTCGGAAATCTACGCCAGGGGGGGGGGGAGGCGGCGCATTCGCACAGGCGCCGACTCGGCTCCCGATTGCAGGCTGGACCGAGGCGCGGAGAGGATGCAGGCGGGGGGGGGGGGGGGGGGGGGGGGGGGGGCCGCGGGGTTGGGGTGGCCCCCCCCCCTTCCCCGGGGAAAAAGACACAGGGAACAGCTCACACACGCACACACCCACACCCGCCCTGGGCGAAGCAATTTGAATTTACTCGGCCCACGGGGGGATGGGAACGAACGGAGGGAGCCTGCGACCGGCTGGTCGGCCAGGAGAGCATGGTGCCCAGAGGTCCCCGGGCAGGGTAGGGGATGCAAGTCTCCCAGGCATCCTCCCCTGGCAGGGGGAGCCCGGAGACGGGCCCAACCCTCAAGGTCTCGAGGCACTCGCACTGAAACATCCAGCGGCAGCGGCCTTGGCGCCTGCGGGGAGGCCGGCACACGCACCCAACAAAGGGAGGGGCTCGTGGCATACACGTGCAGGCGTAGACTCACACATCCGGGGCACAACACAGGCGGAACACACCACTCAGCCTTGCCCGGCCAGCGCGGCTGCTGGGGGGGGGGGGGGGACGGGGGCCGATCCAGCGCGCCCACCCGCGAGCGCTCATTCCTCCGTGCCCCGCGGCGTGGGACCGGCGGCCCCCATAATTCGAGTTAAGTCCTGGCGGGCCGTGCCCGGCGCATGCTCCGGTGAACAATGCGGACTCGGACGATTAATGTCCAGCAAGTTTGTATCGTGTGATTTTATTTTGACGCGTGATCGGACCTTCTGGATCTGCCGGCGCAAGCGCAGCTCGATCTGGAGCAGTGATGCGTGGGGGCGCCCGCCGTCAAGTGGCCAGCTTGCCAAATCAACACACAGCTCTCCCGCTCCAGGGCACGACAACATTCTGGAAGGGCCCGCGCCAGGATCTAGTGGAGATCAGGTCGCCCGGCGCCGCGTACCCATATCCCCGGCTCAGGCCATGCTCCGGGAGGAGAACAAGAGTTCACTCGCACGCTTGCACACCCGCCTCAAGCCTCCAGCTTTGAAGGTCCGGGCGCCGCTTTTACCGCTACGTGGTGGAGGGGACTGGTGAAAAGGCGAGGGGACCGGGGGCGCGTCGCTCTTTCCAGAACGCGGGGGTGGCCCAAACAGCGGCTTGCCTCCGACCGCGTTTGGAGGGGTCCTCTCTGGGGGCGAGACACGCGCTCATCGCAGGCCCGCCCCGCTGGCGACCGCCTCCTCTTGTTCCCCGCTACTGGCCGCCAGCCCTACGAAAGCCGGAAACGAGGAACGCCAACAAACCTCGACCGACGAATCCACAAGGCGTGTCCCCGCCGCTGGGCACATCCCTCCCCCTCCCCTGTCCGCACTCTACCGGACACCGCCGCAGATGGCGCAGAGAAGGGCAAGGGGGCACACAGAACCGGGCCCCTGCCGCCTCGGACAGGGGGCGTGCACAGCCTCCCCCCTCCCTGGCTGATGGGCTGGGACCACACACACACACACACACACACACACACACACGGGACGACGCCCTGCGCACTCCCCTCCTCCTCCTCGCTGGACACAGACATACACACACGCCCGCACCAGACACGCGCGGGGAGGGGGAGAGAGGGGGAGAGGCGCGCGCAAGGAGGAGGAGGAGGCGCGAAAGGATGATGATACAAAAAACACAGACACACGAGAAGAGACAAGGGGGGGAGGGGGGCGCGGCTCTGGGGGGATATGTGGTGATAGGAGAGTGAAAAGTTCGCTCTATTTGAAGAGTAACAGGACGAACCCATTCGCCTTGCACAAAGTTCATCAATACAGAAGAATGGGAGTGTTGCTGGCCAAGACTAGAGAGCTCAAGTCTAAGACTCTTAAGCAGAGATGCTGGGGAGGTTGGCCTTGAGGACGGTCTTGAAGGACTTGGAGGTGGCGCGGACGCGGCGCTGGGGCAGAGGGAACTTGATCTTGGAGTTCTGTGGGTGGGAAAATGGGGAAAAGGAGAAAAGCGGGGGGGGGGCACGCGCGAGGGACAGAAGGTGTGTAAGTTACGGGGGGCGCGGCAAAAGAGCAATCAGACGCAATAGGCAGCGGGGGGACGACTGTGCACGCACGAGGAACTGCTGGACGTAAGCGCGGCGGAGATCCTCGGACTTCTCAACCTCCTGGATGCGGATGATCTGGATGGAGCGAGCGCGGGCGCGGTGGCGACCGGCGAGATCCATGTAGCAGGCGGAGACGGCATCAGCGCGAGAAAGCTCACGGTACTCCTTGTACATGTTGTGGGTGCCAGAGCGAGAGTCGTAGCGGATCCAGATACCGAAGTTCTTGACGACGTTGGGGTTCTTCTCAGGGACCTGCGGAGAGAGGGAGAGAGGCGCGCGCAGGGGACAACAACAAAGGCCGGAGAGGGCGTTAGTATGAGACGTGTGAGAGATCATGCAGAGGTGAGGATTGGCATCCAGTGCATCGCCATCGTCGATGCACTGCGCGCGCGCGCCGGTCGGAAATGGCCCAGCTCGCGGCGCGGATCCCTCGGATGCATCTTGCTGGAAATGGCATCCGACCGGCATGCCCGCCACAAGATGCGCGGAGAGGGAGGAGGAGAACCAAGGACGCACCTCACCGACGTGGAGGATCTCACCAACGGACTTCTTGATGCGCTGGAGCTTCTTCATGTACTGCCAGTAGCGAGACTTGGCGACAAGGTTGTTGGGGGCGAAGATGCGCATGCGGTAGAGCTTGGGGGAAGGCTCGGCCTCGGTGGGGACGTGGCGACCCACAACAACAAACTCAGTGAGCTGCGAGGCCGGGCGAAGACGAGCGTCATGGGGGGGAGGGAGGGAGGGAGAGAGCGAGGGAAAAGGGCGTTAGAAGGGGAACATGATGGCCTCTCCATCGGCCCGATGAGAGGAAGAAGCAAAGGGCATGTATCGAAGATGGCGGTGTGAACGATAGATGCGATGCCTAATAGAGGGGGAGAGACAGACTCCTGCCATGCCCCCTGCCGTCCATCTGGTCTGGTTGTGGCGCGCGCGCGCAGTCTCTCTCTCTCTGGTGCGCGTGCCCCGAGACGAGCATGGGCACGTATAGGCCCATCATCATCTACTCGAGCGCACGACCCTCCTCTCCTTGTCAGGGGGGACTCCCCTGCGTAGCTCCCTCCTCCGGGAGAGGCGCCAGGGTGCACGACGAGGAGCAAGAAAGGCAGAGCGAAGGGACCGCTCCCTCCC